AGCATCGGCAGTGGCGAATTGGGTGGCATCTGTGTGTATGTATAAGTGCATACATGTGTGTATCGCTGCGCACGTATTGATAGAGAGCTGCGTCCCATATGCTCCCAACAACTTGTAGCGTCGGTGATGGGCACTGCCGTGCCCATGCTGAACCGGTGCGGGGACAGTGGACAACCCTGGATATGCCATAAGTCTGGCTGCGCAAACCTGACTGCATACCACCCACCATAAGAAACGGTAAAGCGATACCGAGTCGTGAAAACCGACGCTGTGCATCGCTAAAACTTGGCTGGCCAGTTGAATGTATCCAATGTGTGACATAAAGTATTTGGCGTGTTCGAATAGAAAGAATTGGCCCAATCCAAGGCGATACTCACGAAACCGTTTATCGTGCACTGCATTCGCGTCTTCAACGTTCCTTGCGGAAGAAACCACATTGAACATTCCAAACGCGCTCGTCTGCCCCAGCTTCGACAAGTCGTTCCAGCAGCATGGACGCTACAACCAGATGCCCGATGTATAAGAGAGGGGGATTGGACCTCGAAGATCGCGCCGCATCGCCGATGCATCGGCTACGTCGGCGACGCATTGGCGCAGTCGGCGTGAAGAATATCGGGCTCCACATCGAGTCGCATCGCCGATGCATCGGCGATGCGGCGCGATCCTCCGACCCCATCTGCTCGGACTCCATCCGGGAGGCCTAGAAGGAGGTCGCCAGAATTGATCGTAATACCAGCGCCGCGTACAAGCGAGAGCGCAGGCCAGGAAGAGATTCTCGTGAGGCCAGCACGGGGCATCCAACAAGGGCGCCCTCTGGAGGGCTCGGGAAGTCCACGCCTCAAACCCCGACGGCACCCAGGGGGTGCGGGGACAGCAAGGCACCCGAACCACACCGAGGACACACCCCGGGGGACGTTCTGCGCATGCCGACGATCGCCAGCACACCAAGGAAGGCCGAGTGCTGGTGGTGGTCAATGTGGCGTTCCAGGACGGCCAAATCGACCACAAGCGCAATCAAAGTGTTCACGTCGAGCTCGGTGGGTTCTTCCCCGAAGGGCCCTCCCGGAAAGTCCGCTAAAATGTAGTTGTGGTCCTCTGTCGTGCCCGGAGAAGAGGCCCTCCAGAAGAACCGGGCTGCGGGCCCCCCGAAGGCAAAAGCACCGCGCAGGCGCAGCCTGCACTGAGAGATAGCACCGCGCCTGGCCAAGGAGGGGAGGAGAGGGGGGCAGGCCGATGAGGGTGGGTCAGTTTTCCACCACCACTACCATGGGCAGGATGGGGGAGAAGGAAGGGTTGGAGGTCCTCCTCCTACCCCCCCCTCCTCCTCCTCCTCCTTTTCCTGCCCATGGTAGGGGTGGTGGAGAATCGGCCCATCAGATGAGAGGGGATTGAAAGGAGACTTGGCCAGTAGGATCAAAAAAGAGAAGCAGTCGCGAGCACTGAGAGCAGTTACCGGCCTCCTGCAGATACTTCACCAACCTGCTGTCGAAATCCTCGCCTCCCAGGTGAGTGTCGCCATTCGTGGCGACGACCTCGATGACACCCTGGCCGGACACAAATAATTGTCCGACACACGACCTGCGCCTTTCCTTCTCATCGCCCTGGACCCGAAGCTCTGGAGACGCCACAGACCGACTCGTTGCACGAGCAAAATCGACCAGGCTCGTGAAACGCCAGTCTGGAGACTGAAGATGAGATTATGTAGATGATCATAGTATCAGAAGTAAACAGTCGGAACACCTCCACACAGTGAGGACAGATCTTATCCGAATTGTCCTCCACCCTCACTCCCCACTTAAGCTGACTCGCTCACTCCCCGTAACGCGTTTCTCTTGATGGTATCGCATCCTCGATGCCTCCCAACCCCAGCCTCTGGCACCTCAGGAGGGGCGCACGACCAGGAGGACAGATGCGTGTCGTGCAGCAAAGGTCACCATGCGCTCCTCCTCCTCCTCCTCCTCCTTCTCCTCCTCCTCCTCCTTCCCCTCCTCCTCCTCCTCCTCCTCCGCCTCCTCCGCCTCCTCCAGCGGTCCAGCTCTGGAAGGGAATGGGTGGCAAGGTGGTTTCGAAGCCACGCGTGGCCCTGGATCGGCAGGGCCGTGGCGCCATCTCAGAGTCTCTCTGGAGTGCCTGCCGCAGCTGCGAGTGGGCAGGAGGACCTGGCTTGCACACCCTCGTCAGTTCCTCCTCTTTCTCCCCGGACGCCCAGACCCCCAGACGGCCGCATGCCAGTGAAGGGTGAACGACAGAAGTTGGGCAAGCGCCTGGACAGTTCCGTTCCTCTTCATAACTATTCCCTCCCCTCCTCATCCCCTCCTCCACTGCCCCCTCCCCCCTCACCCTTTCCCATCCCTTGCCCTTCTCGCCCTCCAAGCCCAAACAGAAGCGACCGTGCTGCCGCCTCGGCAACGGTCAGCAGCGAGACGTCGAAGGTGCCGCCGCCGAGGTCGTAGACGAGGATGTTGGCCTCGTCCTTTCGGGCCGGAAGGTTCGGCACTCTGCGGCGGCGCGCACAAAAGGGGCACGGGGGAGGAGGGGAAGGCCTCTTAGGAGGCTGCTTCTCAGAAGGCGCCGGCCCTGCATCTACAAGCAAGGCCCGCGCCTTCTAAGGAACAGGGTGTTTCTGAGAAGACTTCCCCCCTCCCCCCTGCCCCCTTTTGTGCGTGGCAGAACTTTATGGCATCAAGCTGTGGCTCTCTGTGTACGGCGGGTTCGTATCGTGCCGCCTTCGGCCTTAGTTCCTGATACCGCGGGAATCGCTCAACCTTGCACGATCGGCCGATACGGGAACGTCAGATCGTTCAACATCAACCGATGCTGGGTCACCAGCGGCGTTCAACGTTGAACGCCGGCGGCGGGGTCGCTACCAGCCGACGCGACGTGAACCTACCGTAGACCCCTCCCATATGGGGTCCGACTAGATGGGGTCGGAGGATCGCGCCGCATCGCCGATGCATCGCCGATACATCGTCGACGTCGGCGGTCGGCGGCACCGTCGGCCTAAAGAAAGTCGGGTTTCACGTCGAGCAGCCTCGGCGATGCATGGTCGATGCGGTCCGCCGTCTCATTACCGCCGTAGCCACCCCATCGCCGCCTCGTCGCCGCCCGTCGTCTGGACTCGTTTGCCAGGTCTGCCGCCGTGTTGCCGCCGTCGCCGCCCCGTCGCCGACTCGTCGCCGCCCGTCGTTTTGGCTTTGTGGGGTCCGCCGCCATTTTGCCGCCATCGCCGCCCCGTCACCGCCACGTCACCGCCCGTCGTCTGGGCTCCTTTGTCGGGTCCGCCGCCTTCATGCCGCCGTTCCGTCCCGTTTCCGCCCGTTTGTCGGTTCCGCCGCCACGTTGCCGACATAGCCGCACTGTTGCCGCCTCGTCACCGCCCATCGTCTGGGATCGTTTGTCAGACCAGCCGCCTCGTTGCCGCGGTCGCCGCCCCGTCGCCAGCCTCGTCGCCGCAACAAGGACTGCACCACGTAGACTGCACCACGTGGATTGCACCAACAGATTGCGTAACGCATAACAAGGATAGCACCACGTAGATTGCACCACATTGATTGATTGTACAACACAGATCTCGCACCAATTAGCCTGCAGCAACATATATTGCACCACGCTGACTGCTTGTAGCGATCTCGATTGATATGCTTGTCATCATCGAAGCCAAAAGGACGTGATCATCTGACTGCTTTCCTGCCGTGCCATGCTATTTCCTGCAATGGGGGCAATCCGACCCCAGCGAATACAATCTACAACAGGCCCCCTTGGAATTTCGGCGCGGGGTACCGAGCCGAGATTTCAACCGCCCCCCAAAAAGAAAACGCTCAAACTTGGACGGGCTGGGGCATACCCAGGCTACATATCTACTGCTCTACCTACCTGGCCAGCTCCGTTAATTCATCCAAAGGGTGAAAACTCAGGTATCACGCACGGCGGAAGCGAGCGGAAGCTCAGCAAACTCTCGCGCTGACATCTATCCCAGCGCGACGCGTAGCCGCTCGAGGACTGTGCCTCGAGCTTCCCAGTCAGTCCTAAAAGAATCCTCTGGCACTGTCCACGCGCGAGTCAAGGAAGGTCCCGTGCGCGTAATCAGGTACTGGCTGAAATGGCGGAGTCGCCCACTTCCAGTTGTATGATGTCTGTGGCTGCGTGCCAGTAGTACGTCGTACCTGATCGGGTCGCTGCGTGACCGATGAGGCTGGCGCGTTCGGTGTATCTGTCCTGTCCGTGGGCGTCGCATCCATCCTGTCCTTGGGCTCTGACGGGGCAGATGTCAAACTGGACCTCTGCTCCCGGCGTAGCGGAGACCCGCGTAGCCGCCGACGGCAGCCACGACCAGCGTTTAGAAGATGAGCATCAGCAGGTAGCTCAGCTGGCCGCTCGCGACTCGGCCGTCCACAGAAACGCGGACCCCCGCGTCGTTGCAGTAGCTGTTGTGTTCGACGGGGGGGGGGCCTCGCAGCCCTGCAAAAGCGCCGCCGCCGCCGTGGCCATTGCCAAGGCAGCCGAGCGATTGCCTCCAGGAAAGTTTGCCGGGCCCCGAGAACGCCGCACCCGGGCAACCGCCCCCGCGTCGGTCCACCTCCCCCGACTGTTCGTCGTTCGCCATGACGTGGCCCGCGCCCGCGCAGATGCCATTCAGAGCCCTGAGCTTCACGAACCGATCGTGTCCGAGAACCTTCGTGCCCAGGTTTGCTTTGTTGTCGCCCGTGCCGACGGTCCCGATGTCGATCAGCTGGCGATTGATCGCCTGCTGGGGCCAGAGCACTCGCGCCTCCAGACTCCTGACTTTGCCAACTCCTTCGCGTCTGGCAACGCGTCGGGCCGCCGACAAATCCGCGAGTAGTGTAGCCGCCACTGCGAAGCCCATGATCTCCAGCAGCGACTTGAAATAAAGAATGTCATCGGCGACCGCCGTCGTCGCGCAGCGCCCTGCAACGCCTGAGCCGGCGGCTGCTATCGCCTGGCGCCCGCTGAAAGAATGCGCCAGAACTCCGTCGATCTCGACCGTGCCGCTCGACTGCGACCGCTTCGTGTGCCAATCGCCTGCCCTGTCGCTGTCACCGTGACCCACCAGCCCCACGCTGGTGCCCGCCGTCGGCTTCGGAAGCCAATCCACCGCGCCCCTGGTCCTCAGAAGGAACCTGACGAGCCTCTTCAGAGCGGCGAAGGCACCGACTGCGGGGCCGGACAGCATCCTGCCTAGGAGGCTGACCTTGCACTGTCAGTCCGCACTGTCCTGAGCGCAGTACAGCAGCGCCCCCGCGCATGAGCGGTAGACCCCAGCCTGCTGCTGAGACAGAGCGGGGGCACCCCCACGAGCGCCTTGCGAGCTGGCACTCCTGGCGCTGGTGCTGCGTTCGAGCTGCCCAGGCCAACGGCGCCCACCGCGTAGTCCAGTTACTTCGGTTTCGCCTGCAGCTCCGCCCCGTGCTCGAACCTCGTCCGCAACCTCTTCAGGTGCTCAAACGTGGCGCCGTGCTCGTGAATCTCTTCGCCGCTGAAGGTCACATGCAGCTGAAGCTTCCCGCGGAAGCCCTCCAGCGCGCCCCATCGACACAGCCGCGTGCAAGTCGCCCATGCGCAACTCCACCGTCACCCCGATCTCGGGGGCGCAGAAGAACTGCGGGGCCACCTCGCACCGCGCCATGTGCATCTCGTCCGCAGGGATGCCCGCCACGTGCTCGACCCAGCCTGGCGCCGCCTCGCGCCTGCCAGGTAGCTGCTGCTCCAGCTTCCAAGAGATGTCCGCGCCCCTGCCCTCTGCCTTGAGCATGTCCAGGCACTGCTGCGGGGGGCCCACCACCACGCCCTCGCAATCGGGCGCCTGGTACAAGGCGCCCGTCGCGCCCAGCGCCATCGCCTCGAAGCCGCGCTTGAGGGCCACGAAGTCGATGAGTCGATTGGAGATAGGAGCTGGCCCAGGCGCGATCAGGTCGTCGCGCCAGTCCTGACAGCGGAACTCGCGGCGGACACATCGAACCTTGCGCTGCCACCACCGCTGCGCTGGCTTCCACCTGCACCACTTCTCCCAGCGCGTGCTGAGGCGCTTCATCCCCGTCGCCTACGACTTGGGAATGTCCTCCCCGACGTCGTGGTCCAGGAGGCTCTGCAGGTGCTCCAGCGTGAGCCTCTTGTCCAGCTCGTCCTGCCTGCCTACGTCGAACATGCCCTCGGCCGGGTCCTCGACCTTTGTCCGAGACCTCCTCCCAAAACGCGTCAGGCGAGTCGTCCACGCTGCCATCGTCGAGCGCGCGGACTGCTGCAACTCGGGCACGCTTGCCCTCTGATACTTCTGCCGCTGGCGACGCCTCGCGCCTCGCTGCCTGCGGAGGCGCCCCATGGTCACATCGCTCGGCGCTGGCGGCACCTGCGGGGGCTGCGGCCGCGGCGGGGCCGCCGCTGCCGCGGCCCCGCCCGGGGCTGAGCAGGCGCCGCCCCGCCCTCAGGAGGCTCCGGCTGCGCCTGCTGCAGCTGATTCGCGTCTGACTTCGGGGGCTCCGTCGCCGCCCGCCGCGACGCCCGTCGTCGCCTCGACCTCTCTGGAGCCGCCCTCGTGGCCCAGGGCAGGACAGTCACCTGTCAGCAGGAGCTCCATGTCAATCTGCCTGCCCTAAGGTAGCCGTCGCACAGTCCGAGCGCGATCGATTCCCCGAGGCGCCATCACCAGGTGCCCCCGGGGCCCATCAGACCCGCCGCCGACCCAGATCCCGCGGCCCCACTGCGCCTCTCCACGGCGCGAGCGTCGTCCTCCAGCGAGCCCGCGATGCGCTGGCCGCGCTATCCGACGCAGCACCGTCTCGCGCCGAAGTTGCAGATGTCGCCTTTGCAGGGTGTCCCTGTAGCTATCTCGCGCGGGGTCTGTCCTCCAGCTCGTCGTGGAAACCTCTCGTGCAGCCACCCAGCGCGTCGCATCATCTGGGCCCAGATCGGCATCGCCGCCGCGGCCCTGGCGCCGCAGCGCATCTCAAGGTCCAGCCTGAGAACTCGCGCCTGGCCCTCGATGATCTTCGCCGCTGCCTCCGCTGAGTTCGACTGGCAGCTGCGCTTCGGGGTCAGCTCCGGCGCGACCTTGCCCGCCAGCTCGTTGACCGCTCCGTCCACGATGGCCCTGGTCGCCTGCTCCGTGTCGGTCCTGACACTGTGCTTGCCAGTCTCGAGCCGCTGCGCGAATGACTTGATGCCTGCGATCGCGCGCGGCGAGGCCGCCTTCGAGGGGCACGGGAAAACCTTCGCCACTCTAGTGTCCGAACTGAAACCCACGAGCGTCGCCGCGCACGTGTCCTCCACCTGAGTAAGGTCCCCTTCCTCGCCGGCCGCCTTGCAGAAGCCGAAGTCGCAGCTGATGAGCGGGGCCTTCTGCTCAGCGCCATCCAGCCCGACCAGCGAGTGCGGGGCATCGGGGGCCTTGCCCCTAGTACATTCTTCGCGCCGCGGCGCAGCGGGCAAATGCGCGAGGAGACGCTGCCTCTCCTCCTCCTCCGCGCTCGGAGCCTTCGGCACTGATAGCTGCTTCGCCTCGGCGGGGTCGCGCTGGACCCCGAGCTGCTCCTTGACTGCCCGCTCGCGCGCCGTCTCTGCGGCTGCGCGTCGGTGCGCAGCCTCTGCCGCGACGGGCCCCCCCCCGCGACTCTGCCCTGGCCCCGTAGATGGGCATGAATAGTTCTCGCGGTCGAGTCCTGGGCGCGCCGGCCGAGCTGTCCGCGATGAGGACTGGGGCCGTCGCCGTCGCCTGCTGCTCTGCCGCGCCACGGCGGCGGCGAACCTCAGCAGGCGGTCCTTTGTTTGATCTAACATAAGACTTGTTCGCGAATCCTTTGCAACAAATGGGACGAAGTGCACACGCGCGCGTCGTCGCGCGCGCATGCCGAAATCCTTCAAGAAACCTTGGGTGTCGGAAGGATTTCGCGATCGAGTTCCCCCCCAACAAAAAAAAAACATACAAAAACATAGGGTTTCGCAACACTGAGTTGCTAAAAAAGCTTACGCTCGAGTTTCTTGCGAAATCTTAACGACACCATTGGTTGTTCAAAATTTTCACAAAATGCTGCAAAACGGGCTTCGCGCACGCGCGTGTCGAAATCTGTCGAACGCCCTTGCGCGTGTGCCGTGGCGAGAACCCTCTGGAAAAAATGGGACGAAGTGCAGTCGCGCGCGTCGTCGCGCGCGTCGTTTGAAGAAGGATTTCAAAATCGTGTGTCCAAATAAAATACAACAACACAAGGTTTCGCAACACGGATTTTCAACAAAACCGTGCGCGCGCGCTCTTGCGTCGTCGTCGTCCTGGTCGCCGTCCTCCCTCCTCCCGCGTCGTCGTCGTCGTCGCCTACGTCGTCCTCTGTCTTTCCTCGTGTTCGTCGTCGTCGCCCTCTTTGGCGTCGTGGTCGTTTCCGTCGTCGTTGTCGCCGTGGTCGTCCTTCCTCCTCCTCCCTCGTCGTCGTCGTCCGTCGTCGGCGTCTCGTCGTCGGCCCTCCTATTTCGTCGCCGTCGTCGTCGTCGTTGTCGTCGTCGTCGTCGTCGTCTTCCCTCCTCCCTCGTCGTTGTCGTCGTCGGCGTCGCCGTCCTTCCTCCTTCTTCGTCGTTCGCGTCGTCGCCGTCCTCCCTCCTCCCTCGTCGCTGTCGTCGTTGTCGTCGTTGTCGCCGTCGTCGTCCTCCCTCCTCCCTCGTCGTCGTCTTCGTTGGCGACGTCGTCGTCGTCTTCGTCGTCGTCGTCGACGTCGGCGTCGGCGTCGTCGTCTTCGTCGTCTTCGTCGACGTCGGCGTCGTCGTCGTCGCCGCCATCGTTGTCGTCGTCGTCGTCGGCGTCGTTCACGTCGTCGTCGTCGTCGGTGTCGCCGTTGTCGTCGTCGTCGGCGTCGTCAACGTCGTCGTCGTTGTCATCGTCGTCGTCGTCGCCGGCGTCGGCGTCGTCGTCGTCGGTGTCCTCGTCGTCGTTGTCGGCGGCGTCGTCGTCGTTATCGCTGCCGTCGTCGGCGTCGCTGACGTTGCCAAGTGCCATTTGGTACCCACCGTCACGGTCTTCAGAGATTTTGCAAACCAAGTTGCGGGTGGGTGGGTGGGATGTTTGCGAGAGCATGGGATGTGTCAACTCGCTTGTTAAAATCAATTGCACCACATAGATTGTACATCACAGATTGCGCACCACCCAGATTGCAGCACATGGATTGCACCACATTGACTGCACCGCATAGATTGCGCAGCATAGCAAGAACAACATATAGCGCACAGCATATATGGTTGAACATCGATTGCAATATATATATATATATAGAACCACAAATATTGCTCAGCATAGATTCAACCACATAGCTTGCACGAAATGGAATGCACAATCCAGATTGCACAACCTATATTGCAAAGCATAGATTTCATAACATAAACAACACAACATATAATGTACCACACATGTTGCGCCATACGGATTTCTCCACATATATTGAACAACATGTATGGTTCTACAGATACTGCGCCACACATGTTGCACAGCATAGTTGCACAGCATGCATTGCACAACACTGATTGCTGGAAAAACTCTGTGGGGTCCACGCTGGCTAACATACACACTAGCACCGATTGGTAGCAAGTGCGGCGATGGTTGCAACTATCGGCGGCAAGCGAAGTGAGCCTTCTGAGAAGGAGACGACCTTCGCAGAAGGTTCGGAGGTCCCCAAGCCCTCTGAGAAGTGTTCGAAGCCATCCCCGAAGACAAAACAAACAAGTATCAGAAAGCGCGAGGGCATCTGAGAAGTTCCGCCGCCTTCTGAGAATGCCTTCTACGTCTCATTTCCCCCCCTCGCTCGCCACCGAACCTGATTGGGTCACGTCCCGAGTCCTTCTTGTCGAGCCCGTACGCAAGCGCAGCCGCTGTGGGCTCATTGATGATGCGCATCACGTTAAGCCCAGCGATCTTGCCTGCGTCACGGGTGGCCTCGGGCGAAGAAAACGCGGCATACTCGACTGCCGACATCCAGGACGATGGGTTCCCTGCTAGATGCATGCATGGCATGGGCGAACAATGGCAACATCTGAACACTTATTCAGCGACGGCTAAGGCCGACCAAGAGGGCTGGATGGGTCCAGGCCAGGCGGTGGCTGGGGTTGAGCACTCGGCGAGCCAAACGCAGCGCCAAGTGTGCATCTCTGATCTTCTGAAGTCGTGGCCGAATCGCGACGTCGAGGAGTCCTGATATGTATAATTATTCATATGAGAAAGAGAAGAGGGAGAGAGAGAGAGAGAGAGAGCGTGATCCACCGCCGCTTTACCGTAGAAAATTCCTCCCCTCTTCCTCCAGAACCCGCGGTTCCCCCCCCCTTCGAAAATCCCCCCCCCTGCTGGACCCCCCCCCCCCCCCCCCCTCCCCCGGCAACCCCCCCCCCCTAACCTCTCCCCCCCACATCTGGAAAACCAGGGGGTGCCACTACCGGTTCAAACCCCCTCCCCTCCAGAAAACCGAGGAGGGGTCACTACCGGTTCGAACCCCCCCCCTCACCGCCGGCAAACGACTCCCGGGTCCCCACCACCGTGCGCACTACATCCCCCAACGCTGTCCCCAGTACCACCGTCCCACCACCACTGTCCCCACTTTTCCCACCACCGTGTCCCCACCAGTGCCCCCACCACTGTCGCTCTGTCCCCACTGTCCCCACCATTGTCCCACCACGGTCCCACTCTCCCCACTTCCCCCACGGTCCCCACCACGGTCCCACTGTCCCCACTGTCCCACTGTCCCCGCCGCTGTCCCACTGACCTGTCCCACTGTTCCCACCACTGTCCCACCGTCGCCACTGTACCCCTGTCGCATTTTCCCACCACCGTCCTCACCACCACCCTCACCACTGTCCCCACCACCACCGTCCCCACCACTGTCCCACTGTCCCCGCTGACCCCACCACTGTCCCACTGTCCCCACACCACTGTCCCCACCACCACCGTCCCCACCACTGTCCCACCGTCCCCACCGCTGCCCCAGTGTCCCCACTGTTCCCACCATTGTCCCCGCTGTCCCCACCAGTGCCCCCACCAGTGTCTCACTGTCCCCACTGTCCCCACCATTGTCTCACCACGGTCCCATTCTCCCCATTGTCCCCACTGTCCCCACCACTGTCCCACTGTCCCCACTGTTCCACCACGGTCCCACTGTCCCCGCCGCTGTCCCACTGTGCTGTCCCACAGTCCCCACTGTCCCTACCTCTGTCCCACTGTCCACACTATCCCCGCCACTCTCCCAACTGTACCACTGTCCCACCACCGTCCTCACCACCGCCTGCACCACTGCTCCCACCACTACCGTCCCCACCACTGTCCCACTGTCCCCACTGTCCCCACCACTGTCCCGCTGTCCCCTCACCACTGTCCCCACCACCACCGTCCCCACCTCTGTCCCACTGTCCCCACCTCTGTCCCACTGTCCCCACCACTGTCCCACTGTCCCCACACCACTGTCCCCACCACCACCGTCCTCACCACTGTCCCAGTGTCCCCACCACTGTCCCACTGTCCCGAGGAGAAGGAATCGTTTGCCGGCGGCGAGGGGGGGGGTTGAACCGGTAGTACCCCCCCCCTTTCATGATGGACGGGGGGATGGGGGAGGAGGGGGTTCGAACTGGCAGTGATCACCCCAGGTTTTGGTTTTCGAAGGGGAGGGGAACGGGTTGGGAACCCCCAGTGACCCCCCCCTGGTTTTCCGCCAGCAGCGGTAGAACACGCTTCTTGATATATAAGAAGACTACAACCTCGCGCGCTTCGCGCGCGCAGCGCAGTCCAAGCCGACCTCACAAGATCGAATAAGCATGGACATCATCCCGCAAGGGTAGCCACATGAGAGCGTACTTCTTGGTGGATGCTTCAGGAGGCGCTAAATAAGGCTCCAAGAAGTCGCGCAAGGCATCCAAGACGATGACCCAGGGCAGCCTATGGGGGATGCCCGAGAACCCCTCAGAGCCTGGCAAAATCACGCTGGGAGTCTGTTTAGATGCCTTTGGGAGACTTTCTTGGGCGGCTCTTGGGGGTTTCTGGGGGGTGGGGTATCTCCAGTTTTTGTTGAAGTCTCCTGGTGGTCTCTTTTTGGGGGCGCTTCGGACGCTTCCCCGGGGCTCTTGGCATCTAGGCTCGAAATGTCGGTTTGGATCCCAGCTATTGCCCCTGTCTTGGGGCCGTCTTGAGGGCCTCTTGGGCCGTCGTGGCGGCATCTGGGGCCGTCTTGGCGCTCTTTTGCGTCGTATTCGGGCCGTCGCGGGATCTCTTGGGCTGTCTTGGTGATGTCTTGGAGACCTTTTGGGCCATCTTGCAGCGTTGGGAAGCCGACACAGCATGAGGGAGGTGGAGAGAGGAAGGCGTGAAGGAGAGACGAGGGGGAGGGAGGAAGAAAAATGACGCAGCGGGGAGGAAGCAGCAGCAGCAGGCGGACAGGAAGGAAAAGATAGGAAGCGGGAGACGCAGAAGAACTAAAAACAAGAGAGGGGAAAACGGAACACACACTCTGGCGCACGCACGCCAAAGCCGGATGCAAGAGGAAACGGGGGGGGGGGAGTGGGAGGGGAAGGAGGATTTAGAACGGGAGACGCGAGAGAACCATCAGCAACGGAGAGATGCGGGAAAACGAACAACGAGGGTTGGCGGAGACGGAAGCGCAGGAGGGAGGCGGAGAGACGAAGGCGCAAAAGGAGAGACGAGGGAGAGGGAGGAGGGAAACTGACGCAGCGGGGAGGAGAGAAGAGGAGAGAAGGGAGGCGTATGTGGAACGGGAAGCGCTGGAGGACCAAGAGCAAGAAAGAGATATGAAGGAAAGCGGACAGCGAGGGATGGGGAACATGGAAACGCACTCGGGGGGGCACGCCAAAGATTGCGGGGCACCCCTTTCTTTTCAAGCTGGGCCTCCTGCCACTGAATGGGGCAGGATGCTGGGTGAGGGCGGCGGAGGGAGCAAGGAGTGAAGGAGAGATGAGGATGAGGGAGGGGGGAGGGGCGGAAACGCATGAGGCGGAGAGAGGAAGGCGTGAAGGAGAGGAAGAGAGGCGAGGTGGAGGGAAGGCGGAAAATGGCGCAGCAGGGAGGAGAGAGGCGGAGAGGAAGGAGAAGGATGTGGAACGTGAGACGAAAGAAACCCAAGAGCAGGAGAGGGAGCAAAAAGAGCAGACGACGAGGGATGAGGGAAACAGAAACGCACTCGGAACGGATGGGGGGGGCCGACCTTGAAAAGAAAAGGATTTGAGGGAATTCTATGTTTGCAAGTTGGCTCTAGAGGCCCCCAAGAGCACCCACGATCGCCCCAAGAGGCCCCCATGAGTCCCCCAAGAGCTACGAGTAAGCCCTCGAAAGTCAAAATCACTGAACAACTAGGCGTGAAGTAGAAAAGGGGAGGAGGGAAGAGGGGAACGGACGCTGCGGGAAGAAAGGAATGGAAGAGGAAAGAGGACGTATAACGAGAGACGCAAGAGAACCATGAGCAAAAGAGAGATCCGGAAAGACGAACAGCAAGGGGTGGCGGAGTCGGAAACGCAGGAGGGAGGCGGCGAGACGAAGGCGTGAACGCGAGACGAGTAAGAGGGAGGAGGGAAACTGACGCAGCGGGGAGGAGAGAAGAGGAGAAAAAGGTGGATGTGAGACGGGAAACACAGAAGAACCGAGAACAAGAAAAAGAGATCAAAAAAAACAGACAGCGAGGGATGGGGAACACGGAAATGCACTCCGGAGCACGCCAAAGCCTGGGACAGGAGGAAACAAAAAGGGAGGACCTTGAAACAGAGGATTTGAAGGATTTCCCTGGGATGAGCCTTGGCTGCCTCTGGGGCGCTCAGGGGGCCATCTTGGTTGAGTCCTTACCCTGGTAACCTAGGGAGGCTCTCTTCGGGCGTTTCTGGTAACTGTTGGGCCATGATGAGGGGGGCACCTTGAGCTCGAAGACGGCCCAGGATGGCATCAGGACGGTCGTTCATCGCCTCTCCTCTGGAAACTTCGGGATCGCCATGAGTGCATGACCCCCCCCACCCAATACAGCGTTTCGTGGCCCCAGAGGGAGCTCCACAGAAGGTCCCAGTGGCGCAGCTCGCATGCGTCACCCCCGCCCAGTACAGCGCTTCGTGGCCCCAGAAAGAGCTCCACTGGAGGTCCCAGTAGCGCAGTTCGCATGCGTCCCCCCGCCCAGTGCAGCGCTTAGTGGCCCAGGAAGGAGCTCCACCGAAGGTCCGAGTGGCGTACAGCGCTTCGTGGCCCCACAAGGAGCTCAACCGAAGGTCCCAGTGGCGCAGCTCGTATGCGCCCCCCCCACACAGTACAGCGCTTCGTGGCCCCAGAGGGAGCTCCACTGGCGGCGGCGGCAGCAAAGCCAGGAGGGCGCACGTGGGAAGAATCGGAGGGAAGGCTTGTGGTGGAGCCACGAGGGGCCCAATCGCGGGCCTCGCGCTGCGAGTTGCTGAAGTAGGCGGGCACCGTGATCACCGCGTTCTCGACCTGGGCGCGTCTCGGCTCCGCCCCGTGAACGATGCGAGCGTATCAGCAATGCTCCAGCATGGTGCAACGCTTCGTGATCAGCAGCAAGCAGCAGCATCGTCGGTGCAGGCAGCATTGAAACAGCTCGCCTCGCTTGATTGTAGCAGTCTTCACTGACTTCCTGATCCCGAACAGCCATGCATTGTTACCCCAGGTCTGGCAGAGATTTGCTAGCAATACATAAGCAGGCACAGTGAATATGCCCACCTCTGCTGGTGCCTGCCGTGACTGACGAATCCAACTAGATGCCCGACGACTTCAAGGTGATGGTGGCGCTTAGACAACTTCCGAACACGGAACCCTATGGATTGAAAACATACCGTTCCGCGTCAAATCAAACTTAACTTCCTTGTGTGTCATGATTATCCCCCGTACAGGCTATGATTTGGTCACCGAACCTGATCGAAATACGATCTTTCGAGGTGCCCGGCTACTGATCAATCCAGAAGATGGACCGGGAGACCTGGCGCCGGGAGAAAATCGACGGCTGATACATTGCCTGGTGGCATTGATACTCA